AAGGCTGATCAACTGATCAGAACCTCAGTAACACTGAGAGTTTGGAATGTTGCAGGTCCAAAGCCTAATTACAATTTATCTTGGACTATCTTTAGCCCCCTAACTAGTCACTCTTTGCCCACCTTTGTTTCTGACTCAACATCCTGTGACTAACAGACAAAAACCTTTTGGAATGTATTAGCTTAGCAGACCATGGGCTTCCACCAACCAAAAGGCTGAGTGCCCTCAGATAGCATCTGAGGCCTGTAACAGAGATTTCTCTCTTGCTGAATCAGCCTTCTTAATGTTTCTACCAATGCATTTGAAAAGCGTCTTGATTTATGACTTTTTTTGTTCTATAACTATAAAAACTCCATGAAACTGTTACCACATTACAATATGAAATTTGGGATAGTTTGAATCTGTGCCGCTGGGCCCTGGTCACTCATATTTGGTTCCAGAGTAAACTGTCTCTCCCCTTTGAGGTGAGAGTTGGGTGACACCTTATAGAGGACCTGGGTTTAGTTCTCAGCACTCATGTCAGGAAGCTCACAACTGCCTCTAACTCCAGTTCCAGGAGATACAGCACCCTTTTCTGGTCTCTGAGGGTACCAGCATACATGTTGTATATACACAGACACACAGACACAAACATACACACACACATATACACATATATACATAAATAAAAATAAAACAAAATATATAAATAAAGCATGGTCTTGTTATGAAGCCTTGACTGGCCTGGAACTTGCTGTGTAGACCAGGTTGACCTCAAAATTGCAGTGATCCTCCTGCCTCTTCCTCTGAGTGTTGTGATTACAATCATGTGCCACCATGCCCATTCTACCAAGAACATACTGACAAAGCTCCACTTCCATTTAAACTTTCTTAAAGTCCTACTGCTTGGGCATGGTGGCATTCGTCTGTAATCCCAGCACTTGGGAGGTTAAGACAGGATGATAGTGGCTTCCAGTCCAGCCTGGATTTCATAGTGAAACCCTGTCTCAAACAACAAACAAAAAGCATTTTTCAGGTTTCTGCTGGTTGGTTTTTGTTAACTTGACACAAACTTGAGTCACTGGGAAGAAGGAACCTCAATTGAGGAATTTTCTCCATCAGACTTGCCTGGGATGGCGGACTGGCATATCTTCAAGGCATTTTCTTAACCATTAACTGATGTGGGTGGTCCCAGCCCACTGTGGACTGCGCCATCCCTGGTCAGGTGGGCCTGGGCTGTACAAGAAAGCTAGCTGGGACTGGGGAGATTGCTCAATGATTAACAGCACTGGCTGCTCTTGCAAAGGACCTGGGTTCAGTTCCAGTACCTACATGGTAGCTAACGACCATCCTTAACTCCAGTTTCAGGGGATCCAATGCCCTCTTCTGACCTCCACAGGCACTGCACACATAGCTGTACTTATATACATGCAGGCAAAACACTCATACACATAAATTAAAAATAAATTTTAAAAAATAAAGCTAGCTGAATAAGTGCGGTTTTGGAGGGGAGGCAAGCCATAAGCATCATTCCTCCGTGGTCTCTGTTTTAGTTCCTGCCTTGACTCCCCTCAGTGATGATTACAATGCAGAAGTATAAGCCAAATAAACCCTTTCCTCCCCAAGTTGTTTTTGGTCAGAATGTTTCATCACAGCAACACAAAGTAGCTAGCACAAAGGTCATAATCAAGATTGGTCCTGGCCTGACACTTTGTTGGCTTTCTGGGTCTGTGTGCACAATGATTAGTATTAAGATCGTACTTTAACTGGACTGGAGAGATGGCTCAGCGGTTAAGAGTACTGGCTGCTCTTGCAGAAGACCAGGGTTCAATTCCCAGCACCCACATGGTGGCTAACAACCATTCATAACTCCCGTTCTAGGGGATCCGATGCCCTCTTCTGACCTCTGAGGTCATTACATGACATGGATGCACTTACATATATGCAGGCAATACATTCATATACCTAAAATAAAAATAATAATAATAAATTAATAAAAAATCCAAAAGTCAAATGGGAGGGAAAAAAAAACCCCAATGCACTGCTTTACGTTATCAGTTTAATTTTAATACAAAATTTTAAAACATTTTTAAAAGGAAACAAAATGTGGGGCTGGAGAGATGGCTCATTGGTTAAGAGCTTTAGCTGTTCTAGCAGGACACCTGATTCAAATCCCAGCACCCACATGGTGGCTAGCTTCCAGTTCCAGGGGATCCGATGCCCTCTTCTGGCCTCTAAGGGCATTGCATGATACAGGTACACTAACCTACATGTAGGCATAACACACACATAAAATAAAAATAAATCAAAGGAAAAAAGATTATACTTTAAATGTTTATTTGATAGACAATGTTTGCATTAAAAAATGTTACTTCAATTCTGAACATTGCCAGGAGATTCTCCTATGTAAATATTATATACACCCTATATAAATATATGCCCTATATAAATATAAACCTGATATAATTAGTCAGAGATTCCTACCCTCCTAACCACTAAAAACTCCATTAAGTCTAAAACTAAATCCAGACCTCCTTCCTCCCTCTGTGAGTGATACCACATCTGTTCTGAGCTCTCAGCCTAGGACCTAAGTAAAAGCCAATCTTTACTCCCTCTAGCTATTTGAAGACTGACCTGAATGGAACACTTTTCTTTTTATCACTTTACAACAATGCTTAAATTACACGTATTTATTTACTAATTTATTTTTTGAAGTGGGAGGCACATGCATGTGGATATGAAGAGGACAAACTTTCAGGAGTCAGTTTCTCCTCCTACCATGTGGGTCCCAGGGATTGAACTCAGGTTGTCAAGCTTAGCAGCAAGCACCTTCACCCACTGAGCCATCTTGCCAGCCCTGAAATGTTTTTCTTTAACCACAGCAGATGTCTGATGGTTTCTAGGAAACAAGGTTCTGTATACTGGCTCCTTTCTCTATTATTCTCTTGTCTTCCCTCTCGTCCTTCCTAAGTTCTCATCTTTCACATTTACTTGGTTGCTTGTTTGTTTCCCCAGTGCCTAAGGATTGAACCCAAGGCCTCAGGCATGCAAGGTTAGCCATGTGCCACTAAGCTATCTCTCTCTCTCTCTTTCTTTTTGCGTTATTTTGTTTTTAGTGCTTGGAGATTTGTTTTTGTTTTTTGAGGCAGGGTCTTACTATGTAGTCCTGCATGGTCTAGAACTCACTATATAGACTAGGCTGGCCTCAAACCCACAGAGATCCTCCTGCCTCTGCCTCCTGAGTGCTAGAATTAAAAGCGTGCACCACCACACCCCGCTGTTTTTAGTATTTTGAGACGGAGTCTCATATAATCCAAGCTGGCCTCAAACTTGCTAGATAACCAAGTTTGGCCTTGAACTCCTGATCCTCCTGCCACTGCCTCCCAAGTGCTGGGATTACTTTGTTTCTTTTCCTGTTGCTGTAATAAAATGCACTGACAAAAGCAGGTTCATGGAGACAAGGCTTCTTCTGGGTTATCATTCCAGGGCACAGTCCATCATGCTGGGGAAGTCCTAGAGTGATAAGCTTGAGGCAACTGGTCCCATTGTATCTGCAGTCAGGATGCAGTCAGTGACAAAGACTGCTGATACTCAGCCCTCTTTTCTCTACTCATACACAGTCCAGGATCCCAGTCAGGGGTCTGTGCCACTCACATGAGTGGATTGTCACACATCATTTAACAAAAACAGGTTAATGCCCCATAGACATGTCCAGAGGCCCATCTCCCAGGTGATTCTAGATTCTGTCAAGTTGACAGCACTGATCATCATTTAGATGTATACCATCATGCTGGGCTCCTTTCACAGTTATTTATTGAGCACCTACTTGTGCCAGGCACTATTCTAGGTAGGAAAAAAATAGTCTGTGGACTCTAAGGACAAGGTGTAAAGATACGTGTACGAGGTACATGGATCCTTCAGGGACAGTCAGTCCAAGCAAATGGGCACTGCTTTCTGTGTCCTCAGTAGCCATTTCCAGATTGCTAGTTTGTTAACAAGTTAGCAAGAGAGGAAGTATCAGGAGGAAGAAACAGCAAGCGCAGACCAGGGGTAAACCAACTCCTGAAAGGATGGACTTGGGTGTGTGGTTTTTGGGTCCCAAAATGCTTGGACTAGTGGTGATAAAGTTGGACAGGTAGATGGGAGCCAGGCTATGAGTGCCAAGGGAGCACACCAAACAATTTCTTTTGTTAAAAAAAATATTGAGCCAGGCGTGGTGGTGCACGCCTTTAATCCCAGCACTCAGGAAGCAGAGGCAGGCAGATCTCTGTGAGTTCAAGGCCATCCTGGTCTACATAGTGAGTTCTAGGACAGCTGGGGCTACAGGGAGACCCTGTCTCAAAAAGACCAAAAAAAAAAAAAAGTGAGACAGGATTTCACTAAGTTGCCCAACCTGGCCTCAAACATTAGATTCTCCCACCTCAGCCTTCCAAATACTGGGATCACAGGCATGTGCCACCATGCCTGGCTTAGAGTAGAAATGTGTGTGAAGGTGTGTTGTATGTGCTCATGTGTGCTATATGTATGTGCTCATATGCGTTTTATTTGGGTGTAGGCATGTGTGTTATGTGTTCATGTGTTATGCATGTGTGTTTGTGTGTTGGTATGTGTGTTCATGTGTGTTGTGTGTGTGTACATGTGTGCATGTGGTGGCCAGAGGTCAACCTCGTGTTGTTCCTTGGGCTGCATCTACCTTGCTTTTTTAGAGACAGTCTCTCACTGGCCTGGAACTCATCAAGTAGGCTAGGCTAGCCGACCAGCAAGCAGCAGGGATTCATCTGTGTCCACCTTTGAAGTACGGGGGTTTCAGATGCATGCCACCACACCTGGCTTTTCCATGGGTTCTAGATACTCAACCACAGATCCTCATGCTTGCACAGAAAGCATGTTACTGACTGAGCCATCTTCCCAACCCTCAGAGTGGAAATTTTCAAAAGCAAATCCTGGAGTTGTTGGTCACAGAAGAAAAGGCCTGGGCCATCAGTTGAGTAGCACTCTATCATGATGCCCTTTCCTCCTAGGAGTCCTCTACGCAACTGCGTACTGGATGCCTGACATGAAGACTGTGGAAGTCAAAAACGTGCTGGACAAGAAAGGGGACGCCTATGGCTTCTACAATGACTCTGTGAAGACCACGGGCTGGGGCATCCTGGAGATCAGAGCCGGGTACGGCTCTCAAGCCCTGAGCAACGACATCATCATGTTTGTGGCTGGCTACCTGGAGGGTTACTTCACTGCTCTGTAAGTACACCAACTGGAGAGCTGTTGCCAGGCAACCTCCTTTGCTTTGTCCAACAGTGGCTCTTGCCATCAGGCTTGATGCGTTAGGATGGGAAAGTGGCTGAGGTCCTTTGCCCATGATAGAAATGTTATCAGAGTACCATTTACCCATAGTCCTATCTGCCTAGCAGAAGGCACTAAGCCCCAGGTTGAACACTTGCTAATTCTTCTGTTTTGAAATCTCCTCTGTTTTTTTGGTCTATGTGGTATATATACTTGTTAGTGAGTGTGTACACGTGTGTGGGGGGGGGGTTGCCTGCATGTGTACTTGTTTGTGTGTATAGGCAGGGTTGCTGTGGGATGTCTAACTCAATCTTTCTCCACCTTTAGGTTTTGGGGGTGGGTCTCTCACTGAGTCTGAGGCTCTTTTACTTCGTTAGGCTGGCAGCCAATAAGCTTCAAGGATTCTCCTGTCTCCACCCCCCCCCACCCCCCAGCACTGGGGTTACAGGCAGACACTGGTGCATGCAGCTTTTTATGTGAGTTCTGAGGATCCAAATTCAGGTGCTCACGCTTGGGTGGCAGGCACTTTCCCAGCAGCCATCTCTCAGTCCCCAAATCTTCCTTTCTCATGAAGCTACTTTCCCTTTAACAGACACCACCACCATTTCCTCTTACTAGTCACTTTTGTCTGGCAGAAAGCAGATAAAAAGTGAAATGACATCTTGAAAGGAGCAACCCAGGGAAGAGTTACTGAAAATAAAACGTAAGGTGCCAGCAAGGTAGCTCAGCAGGTAAAGGCAAGCAGAAAGCAAGGGGTTTCAAAAGACAAATGGGAGTCTGGGAGTGTCATGTAGTAGCAAAGTGCTTGAGTAGCATGCATAGGCCCTAGGTTCTAGTCCCAGCATGGACAAAGATTGGATGGAGGGCCTTTTGGTGCCCACCGCTCTCTGCTTCAAGTGCAGAGGGAGAAGAGGTTTGTTGAATTTGAAAGACAACCTCTCCGTACACCCCTGTCTAGGCTTCCTGGTGATTGAAGCTCTACCTTCTCAAAATTTGTGATACTAAGAAATCAGTGGACCTCAGCTCTGCAGAGAGGCTGTGATACACGTCCTTAAACGGGAGACGCTGGTGAAGAACAGACGCTTAAGGGCATGAGGGGCTGGATGGAAAAAGACCCTAATATGCCCATATCTATTCTATTAAGAGTCTCCTATATGTATATATTGTGTGTATAGCTGTATATATAAAAGGAAGAGGAGAGAAAGGGAGAGACAAACTAAGAAAAGGACAAAAAGCAGAAGAAAAGAAGGAAGGGAGGACAGGACACGGAAGGAGGAGGAGGAGCAAAAGGAGAAGGAGGCGCACAGCCAAAACGCCCCACAGAATATGGTGACTCCTGATCGTAATTCCAGCACTTTGGAACCTGAGGCAGGAGGATTACAAGTTTGAGGACAGCCTGGACTATATAATGAGACTCTGCTTAAAAAAAAAAAAATCCTGGGGCTGGAAGAATGGCTCAGTGGTTAACAGCACTGCCTGCTCTTGCAGAGGACCCAGGTTCAGTCCACAGCACCCACATGGCAGCTAACAACCATCCATAACTCCAGTCCAGGGAATCTGACGCCCTCTTCTGACCTCCATGGGGTATTGCACAACAAGGGTACACTTACACACATGCAGGCAGTGCACTCATATACATAACATATAAATAATAAAAATTAAATTAATAAAAAATCAAAAAGTTAAATAACAGAAAAAATTAAAACAACAACAACAACAACAAAAAAAAAAAAACCAGCTTTCTTTAGAAGATGGTCCCATCTGTCTTTCTAATTGTTCACTGAAACGCAAATACAGGAAGGGGATTTCAGCTTAAGCCTTTAGAGGAACTTATCCGTGCTTAGCTCAAACTAGGACTAGTGGAATGATTCCTTAGTGATCAGACATGATTCAAACAGACCCTTGGTGATGGCTGGGGTACCATCCCTCAGTGAGGGAAGTCAGGACAGAAACTCAAGCACAAACTTGAAGCAGAAACCATGAAGGAATGCTGCTTGTCGACTGGCTCCCAGGTTCTGCATAGCTTTCTTCTTTTTAAAACATTTTTTGATAACTTCATACATGACTATTTTCTTTGCATTATTTCCATCCCTCCAGTCCCCCACGAACTCCTCCCATGTGCCCACTCCCTCTCAATTTCTTGTCCCCTTCTTTATTATTGTTACATAGACATACATTTATAAATATACACACATATATATACATATGTATATATATTGATATATATGTTTAGAGAGACAGAGAGCACTGAGTCCATTTAGTGATACTCGTGCGTATCTGTGTTTAGGGCTGCCCGCTTGGGATCGCCTCTCTGGGAGCCAGTCCCTGGAGAAAACTGATTCTCCCTCCCTCAGTGTCCGCTGATTACCTGCAGCTCTTCATCTTGAAATGGGACCCTGTGACCACCTCCCCCACCCTGCTCACCTCGACATGTCAACAGGTTTTATCATTATGCAGATCTCACTCTACTATCACACTGTGGAAATTTTACTGGTACGACTTCCCTATCACGTCTAGAATGCATTAACTACCAACAGGTGTCTTTGTACCTCTGGCTCTTACATTCTTTCCACCCCTTGTGTTCCCTGAGCTTTGAGTATAGAGGTTGCATTGTAGATGGGTCAGCTACCTTTTTTATACAGCCCATGACTACCTCTCCAGGGAATGGTGCCACCCACGGTGGGATGGGCCTTCCTACATCAGTCAACAACCAAGACACTATCCCACAGACATCCCCATGGGCCAGTCTAATCTGAGTAATCCCTCAGTTGAGACTCCCTTCTCAGGTGACTCTAGTTGTGTTGACAGTTACAGCTAACTAGGACACAGGCAATATGGGTTTGGTTTGGTTTTGTTTATTTTCCTCCAGACCCATGGGCACTTGTCTGAGAAGCAATAGCATCTTAATACACAAACATCATTTATCAACTTCAAACTACTGCTGGGATTGTTGCTCAGAGCTGCTTTGCAAGGAGTGGTCTCACCTCTGAGCCAGGACCGGGAAGGTGAATTCACAGCATCATCCAACAGAATGTCTCCTCTTCCCATGTTCCTGCTTGGCTGCACAGTTGCCCGTGCAACTGCCAAGAGTTGTGGGAAGATCAAGGCTGCCACTTTCTTCCACAGTGGCATATTAAAATTATGTTCCTTCTCTTCTTCCTCTGGAAAGCAGGAGTATGAAAAGATGCACATTGCGAGATGAACCACAGAAATACTCAGATAAAAGAGAAATAAAAGATTGGTTTGACCACCTTGCGACTTAGGAAGTACTCAAGTTAGCAAGCACAGAAATGCAAAGAAACGTGATGGTTTGAATGAGAATGTCCCCTACAGGCTCCAGGTATTTGAACACTTGGTTGCCAGTTGATGGTGCTGTTTGGGGAGGATCATGGAACCTTTAGGAGGTGCAGCCTTGCTGGAGGAAGCATGTCAGTGGGGCAGGCTTTAAGAATTGATAGCCATGCCCCACTTCCCGTTTCTCTCTCTCTGCTTCCTGTTCCTGCTTGAGGATGTGCTCAGCTTTCTGCCCTGGTTGCCTCCTGTCATGCCTCCCCTCCATGATGGACTCGTAGCTCCCTGGAATTGTAAGCCAAATAAACTCTTTCTTCTATAAGTTGATTTGGGTATGGTATTTTATCACAGCAACAGAACAGAACTAATAGACCACTGAAGAATTCCTCTTGATTTCTGCTGTGTGCGGAAGGGCTGATCTTTATTTTTGGTCTTTTTGAGACAGGGTCTCCTTATAGCCCCAGTGTAGACCAGGCTGGCTTTGAAAATACAGAGATCCACATGCCTCTGTCTCCTGTGTGCTAGGATTAAAGGCATTTGCCACCAGGCCTGGATAGAATTCCCCTTGAAATAGTCGATAATTCTTGCCCCTTTGAACTGATACTATACTCCCTAGTTAATGACTAGGTCTTAGGCCTGCCTTCTCCAGTCATGGTCAAGGTCATTGGCCTGTGGCTGTCATTGCAGGTTCATGAGCAACTTCAGCAGGACTCAGAGCCAGCTGGGGCCACAGCTTGGAGTCGGCCCTAGATAATAGGACTTTTCTGTTCTCTTCTGCCTTTCTGTACCGTCTCTTCCCTCCTCTTTCTTCTACTTTCCCCTTTTGATAATCACGCAGGAAGGTGGTGTTGCTATGGCAACACCTCCCTCAGATGTGCTCCTTAGCCATACTGCAGTGCCCTCCCACCCCCAGTTCCACAAGGCCACAGCCTGAGTGCAAGGTGGTCTACCTCCCTGGGCTTTTCATCCATCCCCTTTCTTGCATCCCTTAGGACCAGGATTCCTGAGAGCTAGATGCCACCTCCCTCATCTCCACTTCCTGAAAAGTTGCTACCTCCCTCAAGGCCCTTGTTATGGTTTGGATGTGAACTTCCCCTCTTAGGCTTATGTGTTCAAACCCTTAGTCTGCAGCTAGTGGCCCTATTTGAGGGAGTTTAAGAAATCTTTTAGACATAGGGCCTAGCTGGCAGATGAAGGTCTGTAGAGGCAGAGCTTGGGAGTCACAGGCCAACTCCACTTCTAGTCTGTGATCTATGCTTGTCCACCAATATCTGAGGAGCTCCAGTCACATGCTCCTACTTGTGTGGAGTCTGCCATGCCTTCCCCGGTCATGCTGGACTGTACCCTAGCCACTGTGGGCAAAAGTGATCCCTTCCTCTCTTAAATTGCTTCTACCAGGTATCACATAGCAGCAACGAGAAAAGTAACCAATGCAGCCCATCTCAAATGCTGTCCCCCTCGACTTCTTTTCCTCCTCCCTCCTCCTCCTCCTCTTCCTTTTTTGGGGAGGGTCAAGTTTTTATGTAGCTGCAGATGACCTTCTCCTGATCCTCTGCCTCTGCCTTCTAAGTGCTGGGATCACAGACATGTATCGCCATGCCCAGCAATGCTGTCTTTTTGATCAACTTTCTTTGATTGTATCTCCACTGGATTAGAGCTCCATCTCT